TGATAAAATATGTATACCTGGACGCCTGGGTGGCTTAGTCCGTTAAGCAACTGATTCTTAAATTTTTACTTAGATCACGATCTCAGCATTGTAAGATCAAGCCCCACTTTGGGCTCTGAACTAGGTATTTACCCTGCTTAAGATTCTCTCTCTCCCACTTCCTCTGCCACTTCTCCCTCTCTAAAATAAAAATATTAATTTGCAATGAAGTCACAAAACTATGGGAAAAATATGTTTTTTTCAACAACAGTATAGAGATAATTGAATATCCACATGGAAAAAATTTAATTTTATTCCCTTCTCATATTGAACACAAAAAGCCATCCATAAGTAGATAGTAGATCCAAATATCTAATGACAAACAACAAAAAAAACCTTCTAGAAGATAAAATGAGTATTTTCATGAACTTGGAGTAGAGAAAACATTAACCATAAAGGAAAATATAGGTACATGTAAACATTAAAATTATGAACTTCTGTTCATCAAAAGACATAATTAAAAGAATAAAGGCAATATATACAATCAATAAGAAAATACAAGCAATCCAGTTGAAAAATGGGCAAGACCCTTGTATAGGTACCTTACAAAAAGGAATATACAATATCCAGAAAATATATGGTAATCACAAAAAAAAAATCAAAGTAAAATCACAATAAGTTCCACTGCACATCCATTAGAATAGCCAGTAAGATTAAAATGATTAACAATAGCCAATATTGTTGAGGTTGTAGTGAAAGGGAAATTCTTACACCCTGCTGATATGCTATGGTACAACAAATTTGGGAAACATTTTGGTATTATCTACTAATAACAAACATGTGCAATTAAATCTCTGTTGATTCTCCTTCCCTTAAATGTAAAATGCTGTTACATTAGGAGACAGCAAACTGCTTAAAAACTTAGACTCTGGGAGCACCTGAATGGCTCAGTCATTTGAACATCTGGCTCCTGATTTTGGCTCAGGTCATGGTCTTGGGGTCATGAGATCGAGTCCTACATGAGGCTCCATGCTCAATGTGCAATTGGCTTAAAATTCTCCCTCTCCCTCTTCCTTAGCCCCTACCCCTGCTCACACTCTCTCTCTAAAATAAATTTTGTAAAAACTCTTAAAAAATAAAACCAGACTCTAGTATCAGACTACTTGATTTTTAACCCTAACTCTGCCAGTTACTAAGTTTGCAAACTTCAGCAATTTACTTTATCTTTCTAGACCTCAAACTCTTCATCCTTAAAATGAGGGTAATTTTTAAGTTATATGATCATTTTGGGACACTTGGATGGTTCAGTTGGTTGTGCAAGTGTCTGTCTTGATTTCAGCTCAGGTCATGATCTCAGGGTCTTGAGACCAAGCCCCAAATAAGGCTCCATGCCAGGCATGAAGACTGCTTGAAATTCTCTCTCTGCCATTCCCTCTGCCCCTCTCAGCCACCAAAAAAAAAAAAAAAAAAAAAAAAAAAGCTATATGATAATTTTAAGGAATAGGTGAATTAATATGTTAAGCACTTAGAATAGTATCTGATTATTGTAATCACTGTATAAATATTTGTTCTTATTGTTGTTTTTGGCATTTGAAGAAACTGTATAAAATAACTCTAGGTTATGTGATTCTCATGAAAATAGGAGACAAAAGGAGCAGAGCTCTACTTCTGAGATCTTGTACCGTTGGAGGGAGGTCATATGTCAAAAGTACTCAGTGTAAGGATGCCTGGGTGGCTCAGTTGGTTAAGCATCTGCCTTCAGCTCAGGTCATGATCCCAGGGACCTGGGACCAAGCCCTGCATTGGGTTCCCTGTTCAGCAGGGAGACTGCTTCCCCCTCTCCCTCTGCTGCTCCCCCTACTTGTGCTCGCTCTCTCTCTCTCTCTGTCAAATAAATAAACAAATAAAATCTTTAAAAATAAATTAAAAATTTAAATTTTTTTAAAAAGTACCCAGTGTATAAAAACTATTGATTTTGGGAGAAACACCATGATGAAAGCATACTAACAAGAGACACAGGAGAAATCTCTAGCAGCTACCTTTAAGAGGAAAATGTGGGGAGAAGGAAGACATTAAGAAAGTGGAATGCAATGTATAAAACTTCTTCATACCCCCATAAGTATAACTAGAGTAAAGAGCTTTAATATTATTTAAAACTTCTAAATCAAATTTTATCATTTTTAGGTATGTTTGCTTGGATGCTTTGTAAAATCTATGGACAGACAGCAACATTTCTAGCAACTACCAGCTCCATTTAGGCTAAACCTGTAAAATACTTAGTAGTCTCCAATAAACAGAAACTAATACTATAATTCTGATCACAGTCTATTAAATGTGTTATTTTGACTGCCCCCCATTATATTCTAATTCACTTCTGTATGCTCATCACTTAAACCTCTCTATAAAGGTAGGTGCTCAATCAAAATTTGTAGAATAGATTATCTGAAAGAACTAGGTAGATGATGGGTAAAGAGATGAATTCATAAAAGAAAGGATGAATGCTGAGATTGTTCACATCAACTTTATGGGGAAACATCCTAGAATGATCAGTCATGGAAGATAAATGTTGCTTATAGTAGGCCTTGTATTTTTCTACTTTAAGACTATTAGTGATTGGGCATGCCTCATTGGGTCCTTGTCCTCACTAGTAGGCAGTGGAGTAGTTAAAAGCTCAGGTACTAGAGGCAGACTGCTTGCATTCAAATTCTGGTTCATCCAAAGAGGAATGCATGGTAAAGTGAGTGATGTGAAGCCTCGGGGCCCCTGACTTACAACCTCTTCCAAAGTCCTATATCTGTTTTTCATATTTGAAAATTTGCATGTCACTTCTGAAAGAGGTTACCATTACTGTAAAACAAAACTCTGGGACTCCACAAAACATGGATCCAAACTTGGCTCTACCAGTTACTGGCTATGGGACTTGGGCTTAGCATATTTATCTGCTGTGTGCCTCCATTTCTCCATTTGTAAAATGAAATAAAGCTGGCAATCTACTCCACAGCATTGTTTTGAAAATCGAGTAAGTATGTGTAAAATGTTCAGCACAGTGTCATGCACATAGTATGTATTCCCTGTGCTTCGGCTTCTTTAACTCCCTTTTTGGTCATTCCTTACCTTCCTCTTTTGTGAGCCCTGTCAGGTCTAGGGTCACCTTCTTCTTTGCAAATTTAGCCTGTGGCAGGCTTCTCTTTAATTCTTAATCCCTTCCCTTTGTACCTGTACATTCCTTTCTATGAGCCTCTATGGTTGTTTATAAACTGATTTTATCTATTTGTTTTTGGAAACCTACTAAACCTGTTCATTACTTAAAGGACATAGCAATTTCGGTGTCATTTTCTCCCCCCTGGAAGCCATCTGCTAGATTAGTTTTCCAAACAACAGCATGGAGAAGAAAATATTATCCTCAAACTTTTGTCATAAATAACATTCTGAAAACTTTCCAACGTACCATCTATAGAACTGCAGCAGTTACTTAGATCCTATTTTCTCTCTGAAATTTTGATCTTTTCAGATATATTCAACTCCATGAATACTGACATCTATGAGTCAACTGTGGAACAGACTTAGGACACATGGATTTTTGCAGGTGGACTTGCCTAGTTCCTAAAACCAAGCTAAAACCAAGGTTTGCTTGATACTGTTCACCTCCAACCAGATCTTTAATGCAGTGTGGGTAGCAATTGAAAAAATTATGTTGCAGTGATTTATTGGCTTATTAGCCCTTAAGCCATATCAGTTTCTAAAATAAATATCTATTTCTGATTCAGCCGACAATTGTTTAACCAATATATGCAAGCATTTATATCAGGCTAAAATACCCAGGAGTCCTATAATCAAATATACATGATGGAATGAAAGTTTAAAAATATGGATATTCCTACTAGCCTGTAAAGCATCCTCACCGTGTTCCATTATTCTATGGATATCAATTTCCATGATATCCCTGACCAATATGTGACCATCACTTTAAAAACAATTATTTTTAAAGTAATATATATGTAAATATCACCATGCAATGCCTCTCAAAATTATGTTCCATAGGCAATAATCTGTCTTGTATGTCAGGAATCTATTGCCTACTGAAGCAACACTGAGGCATCTTGAAGCTCAGCAAAAATTATGTCAAAAATTTAGTACAACATGCCCAGCCATCTTATCTTCTCTATTCCCCACCTGCCCTTTCCATCTAAACTGTTTGCTATATCATGAGTTTAGGACATGATTTCACCCCCAAGTTGCAAATACACTTACAGCCAATATGGGTTCCAACCTTTTCAACATTTCTTGTCCCTTCTCAAACACCGGCTAAATTAGGATTATCAAATAGAACCAAAAACTATGTGTTTGTGTGTGTGTGTGTTCATGTTATAGCCCCTGAAGTTAAGGACCCAACAATCACACACATATTTGTGCCACTCAGTTTTATGGTCTTAATTTCCCAGCATTCAGAGCAGCCCATCTCTAGTTTTCTCTCCTGTCATGATTGGTGGTGGCCCATAGGAGAATCCTAATCACACTAGCAGTCCTGTGAAATTTCTGTAGAACATCTCCTCTTAAATTTACTATCAGGGGATCAAGCAAATGTGTCCTACAGTTGTGAACTGAAATCTACCACAGCTGGGTTCTCTACCTCTAGAGACTAGAGAAGCAGACCGTTTTTAAGGCTACATACAGCAGGCATATGATTATGAGGGAAAAGAAAACATTTCTGTAAGCTAGGAAAGAACTGATATGTCTTTTGAGGTCCCGGCTATTCTGAGAAACTATGGTATATTAAGTAAATGAGGAAGGATAATCTAACTCCTTACCTGGACTTGAACACTATAGCTGAATGTTGACTTTTTCAATGGAAAAACAAACTTTAGCTCAACAAGGGAAGAGCATGAGTGGGAAGGATAATTGGTTCATTGACCACATACATCCGCTTGGCAACTCTCCCGCTTCCTTGATCTACATATAAGGAGTATGCTGGCCACCTGGGACAGTACTTCTCTAGAACATCATATTCTGTCTCCTGCAACATGCACCTTCTCCAGCTCCTGTTGAGAGCCAGCCCTGGCGTCTTGGTCCTTGTTCTCTGTCTACAGCTGGGGACCAACAAAGCTCAGGAAGACACGTGAGCCAAGTCTTTTTCTTCCTCACAAAAATCCCTTCAGGGAGGGCTTCTATCCTAGCCTGGAAATCTATCCCTGAAAACTTTTCAACTTCCCAGATCTCTAGTCCCAGGGATGCTTATAAACCCCAGGTCAAGTCCCACTTCTCTCCTCTTAGGAAGTCCTATCAGCTCCCCTCTATTTCCACTGGATGCTTCTAGGTTGTCCATGGAAATGCGGCACTCAGTGTGCATAAAGGCTTTTATTAACAGTCAGTCTTGCTCTATGGCTCTGATCTACATCCTATCTATAGTATACACCTTTGTTATATTTCTGCCCAGTAAACTTTATGTTCTCACAACTTGTCTCCTAGAACAGTAGGTTTAGCAGGTCTGTGATAGCTTTACACAATTTTGGCAGGACTGGTGAAAGGATCAGAAGCCTTGATCATTGATCCTTGACCCCAAAGTCTGAAGTTGAGCTAGCCCAGAAGCTTTGACATTCTTCCTATTCGGAAGCCCTAAGACAAAAGCAAGGACACACCAACCCACCACCCACAGTAGGCCCTAGGAGCACAGGTTCAGCAGCCAAATCACTGAGGGTACATATTTGAAGGAAGCAGGAAAATCAGGCAAATGAAGTAGGAAATGCAGCCAGGGTCTGGGAGAAGCAGGGGCACTCAGCAAATCTAGAGGGTTTTCTTCTCAGGAATATGGTTTTGAGTGCTGGGTTTTGGGGTTGTGATTCTGATGATACATTCTGTGCCATGTCCAGATAGACTGTCCTGGAGTAAACCATTCAGAGTTTTGACAAGTTGCTATAGTGGAGGCCATTGTTCTAAGAAACACTGAGTAGGGGCAGGTTCAGATACAGATGTCACCCCATGTAGCCCTGAGATGGGACAGCAAAACACTGAAATAAGCTATACTAATTAGAGTGATCAGCCATCCCCATTTGCCCAGGAATTTCTCGGTGTTAGCACTGAAAGACCGTCATCCCAGGAAGTTCCTCACTACCAGGCAAGCTGATCTGATCACTCACTCTGGCTAAACTGGTCATTTTATCAATCCCAAATTCATTTACAGATGAGAGGAATTTTGGAGACACTTAATTCTTCACACCCCTTTCTATGCACTTAGCACTAGAGCAACTGGTACAAGAAATGGAAAATCTCCAAAATCTGGGACCCTGAAGCATTGTAGCAAAAAACCTGAATTTCCTCCTGTCCCACCCAAAACGAAAAGAGCTCAACCAAGAGTTTCTGGGAGAGAGAAATTAAGTCTCCTAGTCCAGAACCCAGTTCTCCCTGATGGAAAAATCCTTGACTTCCCTCTGCCTCCATTTCCTTTTCCCATCAGATTGTGGTATGTGGCTTGAAAGTAGGGTATCATCTAAAGTTCCCAAATATGGCTGTGTGTCCAAATTCACTGCAGAGCTAAAGAAATACAAATTCCTAGGCCCAGGAACTAAAGAAGGAGGATCTCAAGGATGACTCTAAAAATTCTTCCAGTGCATTAGGATGTTTATGGTTTAGTATGATTCTGTTGATATGGAATATTCTACTAACGATAACTTGAGCCCTCCCACATAGTGGAAAATCAACAGAACCTGGAGGATTTTATTAAGAAATGACATGTGATATTGTACTTTTATTCTTTTTTATTCTTGTCAGTGTAAAGAACAACGATGCTCAGTTTTAAATAAAGCATCAAAGTTACTTTATTAAACAAAACAGAGTCTGTAGAAAACAACCAAACCAAACAAGGATCAAAGATTCCCAAGGGTTCTGATGCTCAGCAAATTATTCATATGCCATCATCCCCTTCCCTTGCACCTTCCCTCTTCCCTCTGTTCTTCTCATTGTGCCCCTCTCTCGTGGACAGATCTCTGATTTCTGCCCTGCTTCTCTCTTCCCAAAACTAGTCGAGAAATTATAAAAATGCAATTGGACATGCCCTCAAAAACAAAAGAAAATGAAGAAGTCACTCTGGAGCTTAAACTTCAAACGGAATTAAAAGAATGTATGGTGGTAAGTAGAGACCTGGGGAAGTAAACTCATAAAGCTCCGACTCCTTAGTTATGAGTACAATTGGATTAATCTCTCACTTTACCATTGCATATCATACCTAATAAAATGCTGAATAGCAATCCTCATGCTCCCAGTTCTCATATGTGTTATGCTACTTGAGCCTCAGAACAATCATCAGACCTTGGGGCAGATTACTATTCTCATTTTACAGATGAAGGAACCTGATCCAGACAGGTGTAGGAAGAATGAGAAGGAAAGAAGGAATGAGTAGTGAGAAAAGCACAGCTAAATGGAAGAACAGAGGAAAAGTGTAAGGGCTGGGGGAGAAGAGGTAAGAGCTCCTCTAAGGTCCTAGACATGATTATTTGAGATGAGGGGTGGGATAGGGGGTTCTTACAAGAAAACTGCAACCCCATCCAGTGGATTGAGGCAGGTGAACAGAAGAGCTATGTTGCTGAGAACACACAGGGTATGATTCCCTCCTCTGCAGTAAGCTCTGAGAAGAAGCTGTGTTCCTTGTCCCTCCCTCTGCCCTTTTGCTCTACCATCAGAAGTTCACTCTTGTTCCAGCCCCCTCTCCCCAACAAAGAGCCCACACTCTCCTCCCTATTTCCTCCAGTTGTGGGAGGCAGTTCCAATCCCTTGACTAGATCAGAGGTTCTCAAAAGGAAATGCATGTAAGACTCACCTGTGCATTATCGCTCCTGTTTGGCTGCTCTGGGCCATCAGGAAAAGGGGTCTGTGCAGGTTTAACCCACAGAGGCTTTTCCCCAGGAGAGTGTGTCTTCTCCTCCCTGCTGGCAGACTTCTCACATATTATAACACACATACAATCTGCCCCTTGATAGCTACCACTGTTCTAGGCCCCACTGACTCCTTCCAGAATGGCACTCTCTCAGGCAGCACAAGCATTTTCCTATGACAGAAGTTTCCTAACTCAAATTATATTTATGTATGATGATTAAATTGGAAACAAAATTGGGAGCATGAAGACTGTTATTCATTAGAATACATTCTAGAAATGGCCCCATACCTGTAAGAGAAAGACTTCTGATCACTGAGCAAAGAACAACACAACTGCTTCGTCAAATTTGTCTGTTTACAGTTCAAGAATATGAACCTTGTATGTTAATAGCGGGTAGGAGAGAAATCATCATAATTTTTCAATTTTGTTTTATCATAACCACAGATGACAAAAGGAATGAGAACATGTGCATAAAAGTCTTGTGATAATGGTAGTTTCTGGTGATGATAGATAATGAAGTCTGTTTCTACCCCGAGAAAGTGTTTAATCACATGTGAAATACTTTTGTGCTACTGTAACTTTAAGGACTATGTTTTAAGAACAATGCTAATACAAACAATGAATACTGTTATGCTGAGAAGAAATAAAAAATTTTAAAAAAAGAACAATGCTAATACAATAAAATATGGCAATCTTTTTAAAACCTACCCAAGTACAAGGAATCTCATAAAATAAATGATATTGTAAATTAGAAAGAATTTATGGGAAATTTTCTTAGTTCTGGCCAACCAATTTTTATTTGTAGCTTCTAATATTAAAAATATGTATGGTTGGGGCGCCTGGGTGGCTCAATGGGTTAAAACCTCTGCCTTCGGCTCAGGTCATGATCCCAGGGTCATGGGATCGAGCCCCGCATCAGGCTCTCTGATCAGCAGGGAGCCTGCTTCCTCCTCTCTCTCTGCCTGCATCTCTGCCTGCTTGTGATCTCTGTCTGTCAAATAAATAAATAAAATCTTTTTAAAAAATTATATGTATGGTTACAAAAACATCATATTTTTAAATTTTTAGGAAAATATTATTTTTATATATGTAAAGATTCTAGTATCTATTCTCAATTTTCTAACAATTATAATACTTTTGCAAATAAATTTTTGATCAAGTGAAGTATTAGAATCACAGATTTAAAATTAAAATCAATTAGGCACACCTGGGTGGTTCAGTCGGTTAAGCACCTGCCTTTGGCTCAGGTCATGATCTTGGGGTCCTGGGATCAAACCCTGGGTCAGGCTCCCTGCTCAGCAGGAAGTCTGCTTCTCTCTCTCCCTCTGCCCCTCCCCCTGCTCCTGCACAAAATCTCTCTCTTTCTTTCTCTCTCTCTGTCTCAAATAAATAAATAAAATCTTTTTTAAAAATTTTGTATTTGTGGGGCGCCTGGGTGGCTTAGTGGGTTAAGGCCTCTGCCTTCAGCTCAGGTCATGATCCCAGAGTCCTGGGATCGAGCCCCGCATCTGGCTCTCTGCTCGGCAGGGAGCCTGCTTCCTCCTCTGTCTCCACCTGCCTCTCTGCCTACTTGTGATCTCTGCCTGTCAAATAAAATCTTAAAAAAAAAATTTGTATTTGTAATTGAAAGAGAACTTGTGACAAACCACAAGGCTTAAACATTTGTGGTATGGACCATTTTGCTGGTCTAATAAAGTCTAGGGAACTCTCATCAGAAAATTGCTTTTAAAAGTGTTCCTAAAATGCATTGGATTACACAGGAAAACTACCATATGGAAAAATAGTGATAGGATTATCATGCCCAGCATAGAGCCTACTTAAAAATTAAAAAAAAAAACTTTTGAAACAGTACTATTTATCAACATATTAGCCAAAAATTCAATACATTTAAAATATAGACAAGTTAAATTTTATTTTGTAAAAACTAAATTGGAAGGGGAGGTGAACCATGAGAGACTATGGACTCTGAAAAACAATCTGAGGGTTTTGAAGGGGAGGAGGGTGGGAGGTTGGGGGAACCAGGTGGTGGGTATTGGAGAGGGCACGGATTGCATGGAGCACTGGGTGTGGTGCAAAAACAATGAATATTGTTACACTGAAAATAAATTTAAAAAATAAAAAAAAAGGAAAAAAAATTAAAAAAAAAAAACTATGGGGGTGGCTCTTGTTGCTCAGCTTGAATAAGTAGCTTCAGCTGTGCACTGGTTTTTGACAAGAAATGGATTCCAATAGATTGGGATTTTTGTTTGAATATTCAAGTGTTGAAAACTCCGATTTATTAAGATAAACTGTTGTAAATGCCATAAGAAGGTAAACCAGGTAAGGGTAGGTTTCTTGAAAGAAACACCAGGATCTTCAAAGTATTCTGAGTAAAATTCCAATGGTGAGAACACCTGAATTAGCCATTTGGAGCTGACAGGCTATTCGGTGCATGTTTGCCAGTTACCTGGGCAAGCTTCAGGAGACAGGCAGATGGCCCCAGCCGGGACCATGCAACCCTGTGTTCAAGGTAGTGATGAGTTCAGGCAATATTTTGAGATATATAAACATGTAAATTAATACTAACATACCTATGTTTCTCTTCATGATAAAATCATACACACTGCTAATGCCACTGAGGATCATTGATAACATAACAGAAGGAATACTCAATTTCAGTGAGATGTTGATAAAATAAAGATGAAATTTCTTTCCATCTGAGTTCACTAGACCCGCTGGGTCTATGAACTCTAGGATAACACCCCTGTGCTGAACACTAACCAGACAAAAGCTTCCTGATGCTGCTGAAACTTACGTATCTCAAGTTGTAAAGCCCTCTCAAATTAAAAAAGGAAATTTACCATCAAGATTTCATTTGTTTATCTTACAGCCAAGTTTGGTAAGTAACTGTTTTCCTCTCACAACCAAGAAAAGAAAGACTGAGAGATGTCACTGCAATCATCAAAAGTCACGGAGTTTGAGAGGAGCATGGTTCTGGCAACAAGACCTGGTTTTGGCCTCCATACCCAAGAGCTAAGCTGTGGTCACAAACCAGTTCCTGAAAGCCCTAGTTAGGGAACCACAGCAAACTTGCTCTTCAGATGAAGGCTGCCCCAGAATTAGTTCTGCTTGCCCTGTCAATTCACTAATTCTTCCTTTCAGAGCCCAGACCCACAATGCTGTTAAAGCAGGAATTTGAAGATATGTTGACAGAAAACCTTCTGACTTAAATTTTAGTTCCCAAAATGATACTATGAAAGTGGACTCCACAGTGCCTCTGATCTACATCCATCCCTATTTGCATTTTGCATACAAAGGATGCTATTTGCATACAAAGGATGTTGTCCTCATCTTTCTTTGTGCCCTCTTGCCTTTCTCTCCCTTTCCTGCTCCCCAGACTAACACAGGGTCCTCTCTGCCCACCTCTTCCTCCACAGATTAAAACTTACCTCCAAGGCAGCCACCTAATGGATGGTCCTTTTAACTATCTTTACACTGCCTGCCTCTGTGAGGATTATCCAAGAACTTTCTACTGGGACTTTAAGGTCAATAGTAAGTATAGGGGCCATCCAAAGAAAGAACTATCCACTAGGGCAAGGGAAACCGTAAAGAGAAATGGGACTTCGGATGTGGGGCAGAATGTCAGGACAGAAGGGTGGAGATAAAGGAAGGAAGAAGAGGGGACAGTGGATGGGGACTATGCCCATGTCTGAAAGTTGAGGGGTTGTGTGAGAAAAGCCCAAGGGAGATACACTTGCAAATGATTTGGGGAAACTGGGCCCTAGTAGGGAGGTGCCTAAAACTAGTAGAAAACCCAGGAAATGGGGTTAGAGAGTTATCAGAGAAGATCTTTGTCCTTTTCTCTTTCAGGAACTATGGCAATAGCAACAGTGGTCCACATTATTGAAAAAGAAGGTATCTGCCCTAATATATCAGTGGTGCCCAATGGAAAAAAATATTATTATACCATTAGGAAAATACAGACAGTCTGATCATGCTGGAAGCCCTTGTCTAACTGCCCCCCAGGGTGGTTCCTTTAAGAAAAATTGGCTGGAGTATCTGTTGTGGTCTATAAAATAAACTTCTTGCAAACTTCTCTGTGTTCTGTTATGTCTTCCCTTCCAAATCTATCCCAGAGGAGCCTCAGAGCACCCAGAATTTCTAGAACTTTGTTCTCTCAAAAAAATGTTACTGAGGAGTTTATGGGTTCTCATTGTCCATTGGTAGGAAGAATGAGAGATGAAGAAATAGAGATGACTCATAGAATCTGAAATTTTCTGGGCTCCTAAATATTATGCCCCTTTCCTGTACCCATGCCCTGTGTTTCCTTACTGTAAGGAAAAACTCAGAAAGCTAGGTAATGTCAGGTGTTAGTGGAAAATGAAGGGCTATGGGAGCAATTAAGCACTGCTGGTGGCCTCTTTTGGAGAGCCATCTGACATTACATAATCAAATTGATTCTGCAGATACCATATGACCCATCACCTCTACAACTAGAAATGATGGTAAGAGACCCTGGGCTCCTAGGCCAATATATCCTAGCTATCAAAGAGAAAGCACCACTGAATAACCATTGTTCTAAAATATATGCCACATCTTGAACAACATCACCATAACCCTAAATGGTGTGATCTCCGAGCTATCTCTTTAGCTGCTCATTTATGAGATTTTCCCCACATGTTGTAGGTTACTAGTAGTTTCCTGATGGTGCCATTAATGGTAAGCTGGTAGATTCTTTGATCACGTGCCCATTGCAACTCTTTCATGAAAAAAAAAAAAAAAAGATTCCTGTAATCTGAAGAGATATTAGATGAGATTCCATGTCTAGAAATCAGATACGCTTTAAGCCGTCAGATGGCAGTGCTGGCCAAAACACTGCAGACAAGAAGGATACATCCATATCTAGAATATATATCAACCTCAGTAGAGATGAACTATTGCCCCCTCAAGAGACAAAGGGTCCAATGAACCAATGTATTCTCCAAATGGTCTTCCCGCTGTTGAGGTCTCAGCATTTGTCTCTGGGCTGAAAGGTTGGCAGCCACAACATCTAAATCACTTATGGTGAGAGGCACATGCACAATGTCGATGATCATTACTTCACTGGCCATCACACAAGCATTGGAGTAGCTAAGAACAGAAGCTGCCTTACAACCATTGAACCAGTCATCCTACCCAACTAATTAATTGTTCAAAGTCTCCTCTGTGTCAGATTCTTTCTTATGAGCATTAACATGAGACACAAAAAACCACATACTTTGTAGCTTATATCCCTTGGTTCATCCAGATAGCCAACTCATTTATGAACCACACCTGGGTGTTTTATCTCTAAAACCCAGTTATAAGAACTCCCCCACCCATGAAGCTGCAGGCCAATCTTCAGGAAGAGTGTTAGTGCAGTGGGAGTAGCTGACATGAGATAGAAACCACAATTTTCTGTAACTTAAGACCTCTGGACCAAGTTGGATCCAATTGCAACTATGCTATTTCCATTGTATGATGAATTGCTGCTGTACCCACCCAAATTTATAATTTGTGTATCAGCCAATACCTAAGTCATCATGGGAAACTCTGGTCCCATAGTTACTTGGTGTTTCATGGTCAAGTTTTAGGTCTTTATAGTGCTCATGTGCTCCTTTAAAAAAAAAAAAAGTTCTATGCTGCAAATGATATGGCTGTACTTTAGAATCCTATTGGTCTACTCTGCAATTCTCCTCCTAGGTCTCACCAGAGACTATACTCAGCGTCTTTAATCTACCATAGGAAAGATGAAACACATAGCATATAGGATATGCCAAGTAATGTGGCCAAAATAAAGGGGACTTGGTTTGTTTAGACTGCCATAACAAAATGCCATAGTCTGGGTGGATTAAACAACAGAAATCTGTTTTCTCACAGATCTGTAGGCAAGAGGGTTAAGATCAAGGTGTCAGCATAGGTTCTTGTGAGGGCCCTCTCCCTGGCTTGCAGACAGGCACCTTCTCACTGTGTTCTCAGGTGGTGAAGAAAGAGGTCTGGTGTCTTTCTCTTCTTATAAAGGCACAGTTCTATCTTAACAGGACTCCACATTTATGACTTCATTTAACCTGAATCACCTCCTTAAAGGCTCTATCTCCAGTACAGTCATGAGCAGAAGGGTGAGGAGGGTTACGGCATCAACATATGAATCTTGGAAGGGACACAATTCAGTCACAGTAAATAAACTGTTTTCTCATGCCAAAGTTTGACCCTGCTACAGAAACCCTTTTTTGCTCTGATACCACTCAAAACTAGTATCTTTTTGAGTCCCCAATAATGTGACTGAATGTGTCATTCACAAGTATAGTAAATACTGCCTCCAAAATCCAAGGTATTCCAAGTATTATGTTTCTTTTATAGTGGTAGTTTATTCAAGGTGCTTTCTGGAAAAAAACTTTCTGGAAAAAATATTCTAGGGGCACCTGGGTGGCTCAGTCAGTTAAGCATTCAACTCTTGATTTCAGCTCAGGTCATGATCTCAGGGTTGTGAGATCAAGTCCTGCACTGGGCCTGCTTGGGATTCTCTCTCTCCCTCTCCGGAAAAAAAATTCTAGCATGCCCCAGACCACTGAACCCCTTAAAACTTCACTGGTGGGGTAGTCACCTAAATATGTGCATTATATAGGTGTCTTACTACAATATCAACAGCACCTGCTACTTCTTGCTCAGCAGATCCAATTAATACAATATCATCAAGATGTGGACCTGTAGTCTGTTCAATGTCAGGATGATCAAGGTACCCATATTATAACAGGCATTAGGAAAATTAGGAAAATTAATATAGTACTATGGTAAAACCATGAATATGTATGACTGTCCATCCAGGCAAATATAAACTGCTCTTGATCTTTTTATTTGATGAGAAAAAAAGGAGCATTAATCATATGAGTAGCCACATAGAAAGTGCCAGAGACTATACTTATATTTCTTGTGAAGATATCACATCTGACATGGAAGAGGTCAAGAGACTTTTTTGTGTATCTGTTCATTTGCTTGTTTACAGTAGCCAACCATGGCCCATTTTCATACATTTGACTTTGCATGAGCCAGACTGCTGAAGTAATAGAGGTATAATTCTGATCACCACCCACCATCTTTTAATTTTTTTAGGGTGGCACTTTCCTCTACCATCCCACTAGAATGAACTGTGACTTACTTTCTTAGCTTGGGGATGAAATTTCACCAGATCCCGCTTAACTGTTCCAATCACAACAGTGCTTACTTCACAGGTCTGGGAACCTATGTAAAGGTTCTGCAATAGTTTATTATATTCATCAAATTATACATTTAGGGACCAGAAAAGTGACCACAGCATAAGAAAAAATGTACTCACTGTAAAATGAACTTTGACCAGGACACCACTTATCTCCTGGCTTCCATAGGTCTCATTATACCATGGAGGCATGATAGCATTTTGGCATTACTCTCAGCTTAGAATCAGCATCCAACATCCTCAAAAGAGTGGTAGTTCCTCATTCTCCAGATGTAATTATTCTGGTGAATGACCAGAAGTTTCTTTGAAGAAAGACTGAGGTAATATATACTATAAACACATGTTGTGGTGTTGCAGGTCACTTCCTCAAGGGGACCCAGTGTCTCTTTGAATCAGTAGGCTCTGAGAGCTAATTCTGGTCTGGAAACTAGGAGAAGGATAATGATTTGCCATTATGTTTGCCAACATCAGCCTTCTGCTTATTCAGTTGAACTTTTTGTATATATAAGTTAAACAATCCCCTGCTGTCTTTCCACACATCCTTCTCCTATAAACACCATGGTCTATTAACCATCACCAAATATACCTGTTGGTGAAAGTTCCCATTATAATTTTGGCCTTGCTGCCAGTTACTTTAATTATGACACCCTTGCCTCCAACAGTGAAGTGCCAATTCCAGGCCTCTGCTAGTTCAGAATCTTATAAATCCCACTGATACACAGAAATGTAGATCTATAGAAGCATTTCTACTCTACCCCAACCTAGAGAGGACTGTCACCAATGAACTTATTAAAAATTCCAGTGCCCCACCTTCCCACTAGCATTCCTTACTGTTTTACCAATGGGTATGTCTTTTGGGATTTCTCAAGTAGTAAAGTCAGCTATTTGACTCTCTGGCCTTGAATAATAGTTCCACTCTGGCATGCTCTCTTCCATTAGTCTATTAAATTCCTAAATACTATGACCAGAGTTTGAGCATAACCACATTATTTTCCTCAGGTCGCCACATTTCCAAACTCTAAGTGGCCACCCCAGCAGAATATCAGACTTATTCCAGATATTCTTTGCTAGGTACTTAAATTCTGAGTCTTGGGATAGAGCCTCTCTGTAAGCACCTTCCAAAATCCAAAATCCCAATGATCCCTACCCCTGACATTCATCCTTTTGTGTAATTCTTTTCCCTTGAGAGCAAGCAGGAGTAATGACTTCCTTCTACTCAATGGAAAATAGCAAATGTGATGAGATGTCACTTATCTAGTCAAGCCCTGGAAATCAACAAAAGCTTAACAGGAGACAAAACAGTGAGAGCAACCTGCAGTTTGGTGCTATTGCAGCTCTGGAAAACACCTGGTCTCACCCAACTCAAGCCCCAAGCAGCTCCAGACTGGCCCACTAACAATAGGAGGACTAAACAGGCAAAGAAATCCATTGCAGACAACTGGACTATAGGCAAAAGTGGCTCAGCCACAATGAGAGTGAGTGCATACATTTATAGGTGCACCCTACAAATGAGAGTAGGGTGCATACAATACACAGGAAACAACCTGAAGTGCCAGGTTCTGGTAAACAGGGGACATTGCACCACAGGGCACTACAGGACCTCTTCTTCATAAAGCCACTACTTTGAAGAGCAGGAAAGATAGCTGACTTTATTAACATATAGAAACACACACAGAGTATTAGAGAAAATGAGGAGACAGAGGAGCATGTCCCAAATGAAACAATAGAACAAAAACACAACAAGAGAGCTCAACAAAATGG